GAGCACTGCACTTCATCCATCTCCAGCAGAAATGCAAACTTCAGGACTGGTTTTACTAGGCATCTCCTCCTTTCCTAGGCAGAAACCGTGTCCAGGTGGAGTCCAAGGACCGACTGCTGTTTAGGGAGTTTTGTCCTTCTGCCCAACTCTAGCGGCTCTGCCACACGTGGGCAATCCCACAGGAAGCACTGTCCCCCACACGTTTGTTGTGTCGGTATGCACAGTGCCCTCACCTTCCACCGTCTGATCATCTCACGTAGTTGCTATATTGTGGTAAATAATAATTTGCTTTTAATAGTGCAAAAGATAAAGTTCAGGACAGAAAATGTATATTCTCAAGCTTTCTTGCTGCATGACTGCAGCTCAGCTTACCATTGAATCTACCATAGCCTGAGAATTCAGACAAATTCACATTTTGCATATCTTTGAACCCAGGATATGAATGCCACAATGCCAGCAGACCGTTATGTGGCTCAGAGCAACACCTGCAGAGGAATATAATGAGATTTTAAAGTATTCATTGAAGTACTTCTCCAATACCCACCTTGCTCTTCTGACGGCCAGGTAATAATATCTGATCTCCCTGTTTTTTTACTATTATTATGACAGCCAATGTGAAAAGTAGTGAAGCAGATGAACTTATTTAAAGTAAGACCATAGAGAATTTTTTACCAAGTATAGGAGAGAAATTTATCTTAACCTCCCTGCCCTTAAACAGTCAGTGATTGCCTCTCTGTTACTAGTCATTTGCAAGGTATGAGGAGATATTTGCTGCTATGTGCTTACTGTTACATTCATTGATACATCAGCTCAAAGGAAAAAAAATGAAATGCATACTGTAATGTAAACATTGAAGGAATGATTGCCGTTTCCATTGTAGCTGCCTTCTGACTACATTAAAACATCACTCAAGGGAGCTCTATAGCTGCACCTGTGACCCAGGGTGAAGTCTAGACATGAAAACCTTGGGAAAGTCATGTACAAATCAGCAAGGTATGGACACACATCAAATGGGTTTGAGGTCTTGTTTGTTTACAGAGGACAAACTATGAATTCTTAAAACTTAAATTTGGAATGCAGTTATTAGTTATCAGATGATGCTTACATCTCCTTTCATACAGAAAAATGTGTGTTTATGTCTGAAAGTATCTAAGGGGGCCAGTGCATCTCACATGCCCAGCTGACCTTTTAAAGAGGTCTATTGGCATCTTTCCGAGAGGAAAAGCAGGCTTGGATATTGATATGTTGTGACTGGTTTTCTCCTCTGCACTTCTGAATTTCTATGTTGATCATAATCAAACCATGCCGGGCTGAGCTCGCATAGCGGGATGGAACCATATCGATGCTAACAGGTTGAAGAAGAGGCAGGCTCTGCTGGGTGCATTCCTGGGAGTGTTTTGCTGGGTTTGGGCTGTGGGGCAGTGGTACATGAGCTGCTGTTCTCCCTTGGCCATGCTGAGGCCCAAGACGAAGGTATGACTGGTGAGAGGTGGGGGAGAAGCTGGTAGGGGGGATGAAGGCAGGACAAGCACCATGGCAGCATGTGAAGTTGGGCCCCCAGGCTCATCTTTGTGCCCGGTGCCAGTGTCGCCCACAGTGCCGCTGCTGAGCTTTCCAAACTTGAGCCATGGCTTCAGGGTTATTTAATTACAGGCTGCTGTGATATATGTGCCTCGTGCTATTCATACCCTGCAACCTGACACAGAGAAGCTGGGCAGAGCCCAAGCTCCCCCTACGTGGGGGGATGATGTCCTCACGGTGGGCTCCATCCAGGGCTCAGCTCTCAGAAGAGTTTTGCTAGCATTTGAGTGAGCATCCCTGCTACAACATCCTACCTATTTCACTATCTCTCCATTGCTTTGGCAGCAACCTCTAAAGGTTTTTTCACAAATACTTGTTGGAGGATTTGTCTATCAGATGCCTTCTAAAGAACATGGTAAGTTCAACTTATTTTGGCCTGAAGATAACGTCTAGACCACAGACTGCAACACAGTGTGGCAGTGCTTGGGCAGGCTGCTGGGTACCAGAAGCAATGTAAGTGAAAAATCCCCCTGGGCTCTGCACAGAGCTACTCTGCCTTGGGGGTAGAGAAAAATAGGTAGCAAGGCTGGGTCTACACTGTTCCCTTAGAGATATGCTGGGTCCTCCATGTGATGCAGCTGTGCTAACATAAGGAAAGGAAAAATGTGTAAGGAAAAATGCAGATGCTCCAGTCTCAGTCACAGAGGTGAATCAGGAGAGAAGGCCATAAACCATATTGCTACTAGATAAAAGTCTGGGATTGCCATATAACACATGCAGAAGAGCAGCTGCACTCTGGTAACCAGTGTTATTCTGGGCTACTTTAAGACCTTTATCCTGAATCAGCATCCAGGTGGTATACTAGCATGTTCAAAAATAGCAGCAGGGCTTATCCGTTTATCTAAAGCTTAATTTATGTGACATCCTGGTATATAAGTGCATTTTAAAATGAAGGAAAAAAGCTATCAATAAAAATCCTGTTAAACAGCAAATGATAACATCAGGTATTTAAAAGCACATGTGCTTCTGTGCTTGGAACAGTGCAGGCTCATTATTTAAACACTCAGGGAACTAGACTGACAAATACCAGGATTTAGAACAGACATGTTTTAAGGTTGGAAGGGACCACAATGGTCAGAAATATCTTCCCAGCATCATAACAGCTTACTGAGCTGGCAGGCATGGACATGCGCACATCTCCACACATACTCAGCTGCATGCTTTTACTTGAATGCTTTCCCCACCCAGTGTAGGCTGGGAGAAAGGATAAGAGGGAAAAAACCCACTTATTTGCAAGTCTTGTCTCTTCCTCTGCCGATAAATATTTCCCCTGTGAAGCTGGCAGCACCCACGTAACACTGTCAGCAAACATGGGGGATGTACGGCTCTGTGTTTGCTGTCTGCCGAGCCACGGCACAGCTTGCTCTTACCGATGGCTGCGTCTTGTGGGCTGTTTCCATCTGCCTTTAGCTGCCACCAGAGACCGCGTGCCACTGAGTGGCTGCCGGTCGAGGGCTGGTGGCAGTCACCACCGGCAATATGCAAGATGTGGGTGGCCTCTGCTTATCCTCTGGAGGTTCAAATGGGCTAAAGCAGGTACATGGTAACTAACAGTTAAATTAGAAAAAGAATACTTAAGTACCTGGAAAATAATGGTAAAATTCCTGTCTAATTGGTCTATGGCAGACATCTTTGAATCATCTCAATTCCTTTAGAGTAACTTTCGTTGTGCAGGTCTTTTTTCTAGTCAGAAGTTTTTAAGCATAACTATGACCAAGATTCTTAAAATCTCACAGGTAGAGCTAGCTGAAATTTGGCTAACGAGCCAAAAGAAGCAGAAGAGGAATTTGGAAGACGAAAGATTATGTCTCCACTTTCCGTTTTCTTCCAGCCCTCTAGTCCCATCAGCTCAACAGGTGCCAGCTCTTTTAACAGAAGAATTTACAAAGGACTCTCTTGTTCCCTGAACATTTTGATGTGCCTGGAGTGAATTTCTGCACTTTAAACAAATGTACTTGCACCTTCACTGCAATAGGAAAAACCTAATGACAGTCTGGTGCCTGATGGCATTTGTAGGTTTTCCAGTGAAACGAGAGTAGTAGTTTGCAAAAGGCACTTTTTCTACGTCTGTTTCTCCCCTTTATACTTCATAAGAAGCAGGGAGACAGTGCTATTTTTCTGACCGCCTGTTTTTGTATAGTGAAGGTGTCCTTCAATATCAAAAACTATTTAATGGGTATATCAGAAAGTTCAGGAAAAATATTTAAAACAAATTCATTTACCATATACATCAATGTTTTAGGCTTAAGAGGGCACTGTCAACTTGAAATTGGGCAATGAAAATAAATATCCATTGTAAGAGCTTTAGATACAAGGTTTTGCTCGTGAACTTTTCTGGATGCACTAGTCATTTTACATTTGTTTCATTTTGTCTTTGTCATGTTCTTGTGTGAGCAGCAAGATAAAACCTATCCTGATTACATTGGGGAAAAAAATAAGCAGGCAAAATGCTATCAAAAGCAGAGAGACCACAAGAGGAGAACATGTGTCTCCAATCACCACTCAGGTGAAAAACACATTTCATTTCAGACAAAATGAGTTTCATTTTTTTTTTAATATCCTTGAAAAAGGGGTAAATATTACAGGATTATTACCACAGTACATTATCTCTTGTCCAGTCATTCACACCTGTGAAAACTGAATGCAAAAACATGTGGGTTCACAACGTTTGGGAAAGTGAAGAAACATGTGCAAAATATCTTCAGGGTTAAACAGGATAACGATCCTTTCATGTAAAACAAGGCCAGATTTTCTTTTCACTTAGGCTAGTGTAAACTGCAGAAATACTTTCCAGGCAATATGCTATGACTTTTTCTAATTTATCTGATTTTGCTTACACACAGTTATCTTTGATAACCAATAGGCTTATACCAATAAAAAGCATTACAGAAGAATAATTTTCCATTAAACTAGTCCATGGAAAGTTAAAAAAAATCCCTACTTTTGTATTCTGCAAAGAAAGGCACAGATTTACACATACTTAGAAACCACCACTCAGAGCTGCAGGTGGCAAACCAAGCCAAACAACACAAACACTTCCATAAGAGCAAAACATGGTCATTTGGAAATTTATTTTTCAGCAAAACATTGTGAAGCACAGCTGGGGAATACTGTATTTTGAGAGGGCAAAGGGCAACAGGATGCGTCTCTTTTCTAATCTCTAATGGCTGATATTTGGGGTTTTCTTCTTATAAAAAAAACCCCTGTACAAACACAGTCCCTGCCCACGACATACTCAAGTCATTGCTTCATTTTACTTTTTCCTTCCCTCCAAGGCAGATGTATGGGGATGAACATGAAGAAAACCACAAGATTGCTTCAAACAGACGCAGCGTCCTCGAGGCAGAGCACACCCTCCTCAAGTCAGGCAAGTAAGGGACATGCTCTGAGTCCCTCAGCTGCCTTCCCCAGCTCCTCTGTCACCACTCTGCCACCTCTTCCTGGCTGCACACCACGCCAGCGTCCTCCTCATGGGAGCAGTTGTGCGTGCCGACGTCAGCGTGGGTGCACTCCAGCAGCGTCTTCTCCTGCCCGGAGCACTGGACATCGTCCAGGAGAATGCGAAGGGAAGTCCCTTCCCCAAATTCTGCCTTCTTGCTGGCCCGCACCACGTGGGGAAAGCCCAGCTGGCGGCACACCACGGCGGCGGCAAGCGAGCTCCAGCCATCGTCGCACACCGTGCCCCACTCGCCGTCAATGTAAACCTCCACCCGGCCCCAGCTCCGGCCGCGACCCTGCTGCTCCATCAGCCGCACGGCGCCATTTCTCAGCGGCGGGGGCCCGCCCGGGGG